ACAGGAATGTTGTAGTCTCAAGGTGGGACTAAGTCAGCAACTGACATTTCTACAGCTCATTCATCTGTGCTTGAAATACCCATGACATAAAAAAAGATCTGATAAAAAACAGGACTGCTTTTCATTCCAAGAAGGAATCTCTATTACCAAAATGCCTCTAATGGTGATAAAACTGGCTACAAGGCTCACATATCGTTAAGCATTTATTCAATTTCACTTCTAAAATGAAGGTTATAAATCAACCCCAAGCCCTTCCTGAAAAAACAGTTATCCTCAAAGCCATTATGAGCATTTGCAGAAGAATGATTCCTTCCTGTGTCAGATGTTATGAAAGACAGTTTATACTTCAAATAATGTAATTTATAAGTTGAGGCTGTGAAGTTAAATTTAATAAAGCTCCACGAAGACGCATGAGCCTCAAAAAGCCTTTTAGTACAGGTCTTTTGGAGTTGAGATGCTACCTTTGTTTTATGTGAGCTGTCCCGTATTCTTGTGTATGCTGTAGATACTAATGGATGCCAGCAGAATTACCCACTACAGAATGCTTACCTTCTTTTCTCTTCTTTTTCTCTCTGCATGAATTTGACTGATGATAGATTGATATGCGTATCTCATTATTTTTACAGTCATCACAAAAAAGTAAAGGGCATTTCAGTCTTCAAATATGTTTCTTGAATTCCCAACTTTTATTTTTGATGATGTAATTTTTTAAAGAAAGATTATTATGCTTGGTTAGTATAGATTATTATGCTTTGGTTCAAGCAATTGTTGGGAGATTTACCACTATATTAATTTTTTTTTTGAAGTCCAGATGATAAACTTTTGAAAATCAGCAGTTCTGGTCAGGGATAGTCCCACAAACTCATGAAAAAGTGATCATGGTAGAATTTCTTCCAAATATGCTTTTCATTATGGATTTAGGATTTGACATTTTGAATTAAAAAACCTAAAATTTCATTTCAATTCACCCCAATGTAAAAAAACCAAAACAAAACAAAAAAAACAAAAAAGAAAACAAAAAAACCCCAACAACACCAAACTAGGACACTGAAATAATTCTTACAGAAAACGATACTTAGAGAAAAATAAAAGTTTTTTTACTATAAAATTACCTGATTTTTTCATCACATATGTCCCTTCCAGACCAAAGAACAGCTGATCAGGCCTAGGCTACTTACCTAAGCTTAAGTCTTACTTCTTATAGCTGGGGATTAGGGGAAGGAGGAATCATGGGGAAGGAACAATGCAACCAAAATAAGGACCTACTTTTCCTTTCAAATAAATGGAGAAATGTAGATTTTTCCAAAGACTTTTGAAGTGTCATCGAGCCAGAGCATTACTTCTCAATGAGATTGCAAGGGGCAAACAAGATAAATACATTGATATCAACAAATCTATTGGCACTACCATTACATTTGCTTTAGTAGACAAGTAGTCAGTTTGTCTGAACAGCAGAAAACATCAGCTCCAGGCCTCCTTCCACATGGGCAGTTGGATTCTCATTTCTTCACAGACTACATGACTGTTTAACCACAAGCCCACAAAGTGGTTTGTGCAAACACACTTTCATAAAGTTCCTCATCCCAGGTCTGGTTTTGGTTTTCATCCAACTACAATCCAATGTAAGAATCACAATTTAACCTTTTTGGAAGGGCTGTTAACCACTTCTTGTCTGAGTCCTGACTATAACTGTATTTCTGATTTTCTCTAGGACGGTTAGTTGTATTTTAGTTAAGTGAACAGAATGTCAGTGCCTGTCTACTGATGTGAGGGCTGCAGCAGTGCTCTCAGTGGCAGGTTTGTACTTACCTTCTCAGAAAAATTACTTCTGAATATCCTCAGGAAAGCAAAGTGGGATACCCCAACTAAGCAGGAACATGCCAACTAACATTAGTAGGCTGGACGGATTTCTGAGTTTTAGTTACCAAAATCATACCTCAGGCAGGACTTCTGAAAACTGATGTGAACTCTTAGAGAGTGTGACAGAGCCTAGAAACACAGACAAGGCCAAAAGAAACTTGGCATTTAAACAAACTGCAGCTGCGTTATTCCCTATACATCATGACATAGCTATTCCCTGTTAAATTAATATTCCAGTTTGCAAAATAAGGTAGAATTAGTAGCTCCTGTTACAGCCCGTTTGTACATTTACAGTGCAATCAATGAAATGAACAGAGAAATCTAGCTCCAAAAAATGAAGTGAATCTAGCTGCAATTGCTATAGAAGAAATGCAGATTAAACAATTTCCTTCCATTAGTATGCCAGGAATTGACTCATAAGAGGAAAGCTCATGGATTCCTGCTAATCACCTAATGTAAGTTATAGCTACAACGTAAATGTATTTGATGCAAATTATTATTGCATCTAAACTGCAAGTAAAAATACATTGAACAGAATGCTAGTTCACCAACAATCAATGTAAATGTTGTTATTTTAAGAAGTTATTTCTGGGAATAACATATTTAAGGACTATTCCATTCATACTTGCAGTATTCCCTTTTTCATGGTAGTATATAAAGAATAAAATGTGGTTTCAATTATTAAATACATTTAATATAATTAATATGTTTAAGAGCTTCCTATGGCTTAGTTTTAATAGAACAGATGTGAACATTATTCATGGATTTCTTATGATTGTTGTGTTTTGCCCTTGTGGTAGTAAAGTAACAAAAGTCATTATTTGAAGACAATGTGTAGAACACCTTGAAATTCAGGTGAAAGTTCAGAGAGAACATTCAGAGGTTTGAAACATGCGACTGCAGTCTGCAAATGTAGACACTCTAGAAATAAATCAGAAGCTATTTTAAATTCATTTAGAATTGTGCAAGGCTTATTATAGAAACATATTATGAGTCTGCTATAGGGAAAGAGTTATTTGGGGTTCCTGGATGCTGTTCACCTACTAGCTTAGCTGTACTTTTATGTGTTGGTGCTTTGGCCCTAAGGAGAACCAAGGTGAGTTATCTCCATGGGTATTTCGGGGTGGGAAGCACAGAGATGCTTAAGGCATCAGGAGCTTAATGGCTGCACAAGCAAACTGCATGTTTTCACAGGGCTATCCCTCAATGTGGGCACTGATTTACTTTTGGATAGTCTTCAGACCATTCCATGTTCTTCTATTTCATACCACAGATCTGAAAACTAACCTTGGCCACAGGGAGGTAGGACTGATGACTGCTGAGCTGGGTCACAAGCTTTAATGCAAGTGATAAATTTCAAGCCTTATCCATGAGAGCTGTCATTCTAACAAATAAGTATCCTAGATAGATTGGTCAGCTCTGGCCGTTACTAGAGACATCAAATATAGAACATCGTCAGTGCATGGGAGCATCTTGAATAGTGTCCTTTTTGCCTGAATATTTTGTAAATTCTAGAGTACTACATTTCTTTTTCATTTTCTCAATTTCTCATATGCACATATGACATAAAAACATCTAACTGTTGAGTCTTCAGACCTTGTGACAGTATCTTAGAATTGCAAGACAAATAAAAATCATCATCACATCTAATACATTTTTAGGTATTGCTTATTTCAAGTTTAATCTTTGGCATGAAAAAAGAAAACAATAAAGAATATTTATCTGATTATCAGTTCAGTAATTGAAATCTAAAATACTTTTTGTTTCACAAAAAACGTTTGCTCCTTAGTCCTTCAGCACTGTTATGTTCATCTTGTAGATGGCAATAACTTGTGACTGTTTCTGTACAGTGTTCAGTTACACAGTGGAGACTTTCACACCTCTTTATAAAGATGGTGTGTTAAAAAGTTAGTGTGATTTCAAAAAATGTTAGACAAATACATGACAGAGGAATCCACAGGCTCTTAAGCCCAGACATACCATGTCTTTGTTAAAGAAATCCCCAGAGTACAGGTTGATGGAACCTTGGAAAATATACTGGGAAAGTTTTGTATTAGAATCAAAATGTTTATGTATTTTTCTTTAAGTCTTCAGCAGGATATTAGATTAGCTCAAATATGATCATTCATGTTAAGTGGAGAGCACATATATATATATATATATATATATGATTAGGTCCTTTTGGAATCAATTTTGGGCTCAAATGCTTTGCTGTTATAAATGACTGCAATTATATTAAAGCTGTGTTCACTCAACACAGAACATAATTTGGCTTTTAACTCATGAAAGGTTCTAATTTTTAACGTTTACAGGTCAAGAGTGAGATAAAGGACAGGCACAACACTGTAGGTTAGAGAATGACATCTAGTAACACAGCTAAAATTCACAAAACAGAAGGTCTGTTTGCATTGTGACCATCTGCAGCCAACCAAACAATTTACAAACTGAACAATTTTCATATTTTAATGGTTTATGTCCCCCCAGCCTTGGTTCTACTTTAATTAATTTTTTTTAATTATATAGGTAATTTTCAGATAAGGTAGGAAAAATCTGCATCCCATTACTACTTTCACAACATAAAAGCCAGCATGTTTTAAGCTGGTGGTGTAGTTGAAGCTAATCATTGCATTTTTTTAGATAAGAATTTTCTCACATTTATATGTGACCAAGCACAGGGAAAATATGAAAAATTCCAGTGACAAAAAGATGCTCTTCTGTTGTTCCATGACAGCCATTTTTTTTAAGTAATTCAGTTTTGAATTTTCTCTGAATCAACTAAAAAAAAAATAATTATTAGAATTATCAATTTTGATATTCTACAGCTTTATAAGACAGGTATTGACAAAAATAAATTATGAAGCTGGACAGAACACACATTTCCACACACTGATGTATCAACCTGGAGAGAAACTAAATCAGAAGTGAACAGATGAATATGATGTTTAAATATTCCAATGTAAAAAGGCACCTTAAAAATACTAATGAATATTGAAATCCTCTGCAAAACCTTAATAACTAAACAAAAGGGGTCACCAAAAATCTTTTACTCTTTTCAGCTTTCCTTACTTTCACAGTCTGAACCGATTCAGCAATAAGGAGAAAACAAGAGATCCTTGATAGCATTTTAAAAGTTTTCTTACCATAGATTGACTAGGAAGGGATGTTCCAGGCCTTGCATTATCTGTAGCTCCCGGAAAACATTTCGAACTTCATCTCTCTCAATGCACTTCTGTTTATTCATGTATTTCATGGCATACATTTTCTTGGTGTCTCTCTTCTGTACAATACACACCTAATTGATAGCAAAGTAAAAGAAAAATTTTGACACCTTGAGAAAGAAAACTCAATTGTGACTGAAAAAAAAAGGATCCTTTTATGATACTAAATCAGATACTACAACTGAGTAACACCTTGAGAAAATTCACTTCACATTTCTGTGGGATTCTTTGTAATAGATTATAATTAAAAGAATTAACAAAAGGACACCCAAACCCTGCATAAGAAGAAAGTAAAAGAGAAGCATAAAAGTGCCATAACTTTCAGAAGTTACAAGGTAAAGCTGGGAGGAACACACTCCAATTGCTGAATTTACAGACTACTCCATTAGTCACAGAAATTGCTGCCTACTGCTTAGGAAAATGCACAGTCATTGTCCTCATTTCTGCAAGTCAATACACACATCTTGATTACTGCATCATAAACCTTTCCTCTGTTCCCAAGGCTCAATATTTCATCTAAATATGAGAATTATGCTCCTTTAATTATTGTTGAAAGGAAAAAAAATTTTCGTACAGAGATTCATCATGATAGTTTTGAATTCACAAGAAACCATTGCAATGATTTAGTCTCTGACAGTAAATTTCTTTCCTTTTACTTTGTTTTCTTTTCTCTATGCCTCTCTTATTTTTTTCCTTTTTTTTTTTTTTTAAGAAATCAAATAATATTATAAATTCATGAAGAAAATCTTAGTCAAGAGAACTCCCATATAAAATCTGATTTATTTTTTGTCATGGTAGTTTGCCTTGAGAATGGAGCTGGAAAGTCACCAGCACCACATCCAAGAAGCAAAATTTTAAATGTGATTTCTGGCAACACAGAAATATAAAATTGTTCTGTGTCTCATCCCCAAAGCTAGTGTAAAAATTATTTTCATAACAGCTCTATATCCACACCTAGAGGGAAACTGTATCGTCAACAGACTTTTGCTCTGAAGGGAGTTTTGCT